GAGAGTGCTTTCTGCAGGGTGCAAGACTTGGTGGTGGCTCTGCTGTGCTCTGTCTCTTAGACCTTCATTAAGCTGCAGCTGCTTAAGTGTTTTTTACTGATGGCTAAAGTTTTTTTTTTTTTCTAATAGATTTTACTAAGCCATTTTTAGGCTGATTTCTTACTGACATTCATTAAGCTTACTGATTGGTGGCAACCCAAATTTACCATTATTTTTACAGAAATGTTTGCATTATATTTTTTTAATAAAGCTCTTGTAGAAACCTTATTTGTAAGTAAAAACAAATGAGGATTTTCTGTTCCTTTAGAGCAAATACTGAATTGTGGGAGTGTATGATAAGAATGTAATAAAAATTAAAAGTGAAATGTAGCTGCTTTTTAAACTAAAGTCAAGAGAAATGCAGGAAACAAAAAAGCAACATTAGTGCCAAAAGAATTAATGTTCGAAAATATTTTAATCAGCTTAATGTTGTAGAAACATTGATTTAAAAAAAAATCTTTAAAAAAATATGAATTTTACTTTAGTAGTGTCCCATTTAAAATGCCCTTTAAAAGTAATTTAAATGTACTTAATGAAAAAAACACAGAGATTGGAATCTCTTTTTATTATGTAGTTTGCTGTTAATTCTTAATGTTAACAAAAAGAATCCCTGTTTCCATCTTAAATGTGACAGTTGTTAGCTTTATGGGGTATCAAGCCAAAATCGTTCCTCTGCAATTTGGGTTAAGTTAGTGGAATCCTTGCATGAATAAATCTTGCCCAGTGTTACAGTAGGAATGAATTTAATCCATTTCTTAAATTCACACATTAGTGAGGCAAGTCCTTCTATGGAACATATATGCATCATGAAGAGTAAAAACCCTGAATTGGATTAATTTATCGAAGTGAGGATTCAATCTGAGAAGAGCTTATGGCCTTGATGATTAAAATATGGAGCCACCTTTTATATTCATTTCTTCATGCTGGCTTTTCTATTTTGTATGCTTTGCATGAAACATATATTCCCTAGCCTATCCCACAAACGTGTTTTGTCATATCAAAAAACAGATGGGAAGTACTTAAAATGGAAGATCATTTCTAACAAAGGGCAGGATGCTTATTTAAGCTTTCGTATTCTGAATGTATTCATTGTGTGTTATTTACAAGTGGTTCTATATTTGTCTCACTAAGAATCATGTAATTAACATCTGATAAGATGGTTTGATGCCAGTTTGCAGTGTAGTACATGCTTGTGACTTCCTCAAATTATCTGGCATTGTAGCTCATGCTAAAATTAAAGATTCAAGTGGGACTCATCATTTCCATAAAAATGCATGTGATTGTTCAGCTGTATAAAATACAGCAGTCTCAGATGATGTCTTTATCATACCAACTAGCTGTGTTTTAACCTAGTAAATTGAACTGGGGTGTAATTTGGCAATTTAATTGGCTGGATTTTTGTTTTGCTGTCAAAATGCAACCTTATCCCCCCTTTATATTCAATCTTTCTATAATTCTGCTGAAGAAGTAAAATCACAATTTGCTTCTACTTGAAGAATAATATAAAATTATTCTTGCATTCTACATAGCATCACTGGGGGAAATCACAACATGAATGCTATGGATTGCCCCTGTAATCTCTTTTCTGTCTGTCATTCATAGAGATTTCAGTCTGTCACTGATCTCTTTGTATCTCATATATGTCTGATGTATAAATGCGATTGCTTTCCTGTGGCACAAAACTGATTGAGGATGACTGGTTCTTTCCTGGCTGCTCTGATCCAGCCATAGTCTCAGGGCAGCAGGAGCTGGAGGAGGAACTGACCACAGGTCAAGGAATCGGCAGGCTGCAACAATCAAGAAGGAAGAGCAACCAAGCCAGCAGGAAACTTCAGGTGGGTTGTTAGAACAAAGGAATCCACTTATTTTAACTCTGTTTTAATAATCAGAGACATGGGAATTTCTATTACTTATATGATGTCAAGTGCATGTATGGTGCCTTACACATAAATAGAAAGTTTAGGTCTATGCCTGATGGGGCTGAGAAAGTTTGAGCAATAAGGCAGACGGATGAGAGTTTAGAGGTAATTAAGACAATGATGCATATATCTTTACAGGGTATAGCTTATGATGTAGCTATAGATGATTATATAGTATGTCTCCTCTTTGGTTAGGGCATTTACATGGATTGTATTTTTTTTTAATTTGAAGAAATTTCTCTGTGGGGACAACTTCCAAGCTTGAAGTTATGCATGGGCTTAGTGAAGTGAGACTTAGGCATACCTTTCATCTTAGGCATACCTTTTACTTAATAGGCTTTTTTGTCAGTGAGATGGTATGGGACAATCTCTGAGGAGCATCACTTCTTCATTCTTCACATATTTGTTTACCTAGTTGATGTCCCTAATCCTATAACTATATTTAAGGAGAAAGAGTCTGCATATCTATAAGAAATAGCAGCATCAATCTTGTATTCATATTTTACAGAAAGAATGTTTCTTTTTTTTTAATAAGGTCTGATATCTCAGGATTCGATTCAATAAATCTGCCTTACAGCAATGTTTATCATATAGGTTTAATTGAAACTGCTCTGGCAATTGAATATGTATTTTATGTTAGTTTCTCCCTTTTTATTAATACTGTTTTCATGTCTTCTGCTTAGGAAGAATACAGCTTTGATGGGAAACAATGCTTTCAAGAACTGAATGTCACCTTGGATAGCACTGATTCAGCTGAAGGAGAGAACATGGGAGGTTGGTGGCCAGAGTACACTTCACCTAATGCAGGTGTGATAACCGCTAGACAGTTTATTAAAGCATGCACAACATCTGTATTTTGTGTTTATTTTCATTTTCAAATTGAACTAACAATCCCATTTTGTGGTATATTCTAATCTCTGTTGAATTTTTTTTTGGCTTGCATTTTTTTCTGTTTCATTTTGGAGTATGTGCGTGCTGAATGAACTGCCTAGTTTCGGTTCAGAACTAGAACACAAACATGGTTTAACATCTGGGTTTTCAGCAGTCCTTGTCTGAATGAAAATGTACTGTTCTAAGGTTATATACTTTTTTCAGTTGATAGATTGTTTTTGTGAAAGTGGCTCCACTCTATAATGTTGTTTTCCAACCATACCATTATATTCCATCTTCGTTTCATTTAGTTATAAGATTATTGTTCATGTATATTATCACTCTCCCTGGATAAGATATTTTATGTCTGTGATGGACATAATTATATCTTATTACCTCTTGTTAGTAAAATACATACATTCTAAGTGTCCCTGTAGATAAAAAAACTGCTTTTCCTGGGGTTTCCTGGTGCTGATTCCAGGGGTCTGCTGTGAAGTAAATATATGGCTAGGTCTTGTTTGGTATAAACATTAAATTCATCTTTTTTATTCTGTAACTACCTCCAAACAGTAATTTAGACTGGGTTAATATTGATTAACCAAAGTGAATTTACAGCTACTGCATGTACATTTATATTCAGCCCCCAAAGCAATAGCTTTCCAATATATTTACATACACAAGGCATTTGTTTTCTAAGATGTTTTTAAATAGAGCTGTTGTGTTTTTATTTTCCTGATTAAGCTTTAAATGAAAATCCAAGCTTGGGTTAGAAGCTTGCAAGGCTGTGGGATCGGGACTAGGATTTCAAATAGATGTTCACAGTTCTAAAAAAACTGGGTGTTACTGCTTTAATACTAGGTACTGGTTTAAGCTGGAGTCATGTAAGTACAAACGTGCACAGTAATTGTTGCCACACACAAATGTTGAGCAGATAATTTGGTTGGGCTGTGAAACGTTCTCTGTACTAAGCCCAGTTTGTAGCTGCTCTCTCCACCTCAAAATATTCCATAGGTATATTGTGTTAAAAGCGGAAGAGAAAGAACCTTTTATTTTAATTTGTTCCTCCAAATTACAGTTATCTGAACCAATTGTAGTATAATCACCGGTTCAGAGTTTTGTCCTTTTGGCCAGACGATACCTTTAAGAAAGCTTCTGAATTTTCACATGGAACTCTGAGGTGGTGGACAGATCAAACCTTTCATCCTTCAAGGGGAAGGAGGATTGCTCTTGCAGACCATGTGTTAGCTCTTAAGGATGTAACTGTTATGTCTGTACACTCCTAAAGGTGTGTCACCTGCTTTTAACCTTGAATAAAACTGGTTAATGATGCAGAGGTCTTGCTATGCTTACACTATAGGATAGGGGTGCTCAACTTCCAACCTGCAAGCCAACTCTGGGCCACAGAGCCATTGCATCTAGCCTGTGGGGCTCCCCATGGGTCAGGAAATTTTGTAGTAGGGGAGCAGTGGCAGTTAATAAGGCTAACCTCCCCCTGCCAGATTCCCAAACCCCAAGCCCTGCATGGTGGGTTGGAGCTGGTCTTCCTCTCTCTTTCCCCTTTGGGGCCAGGCTATGCTCCCTTCCTCCTCCTCTTCCTCCTGCTGCTAGATTGGGGCCAGGCCATGCTCCTTCCCCTTGCAGATAGATCGGGGCTGGGCCCAGATAGGACCTGGGTCGAGCCCTCTGCCCTACCCATGGGGCCGAGTTGCCCCTTCCCCTTCCATGCAGCTGTGCCTGCCTCGGGTGACAGATCAGGCCCACTGGCTGGTGGACTGCCCATCAGTTCCACCGGTCAAAAAGGTTGAGCACTACTGTTATAGGATAATGGGGCCAACCTTTATGGTGGTTATGGCCCACACCCTTCCTGAGCATTAATCTGATCCTGTTCCCCTACTCTGCTGCTCTGTTTCTGTTCCCTGCCATGCACTCCCTATCTGCTAGTGTGCTGTCTGTTCCCTCCCTGATCTGCCGCTTGCCACACACACACAGACTGTCCATGCCATTTGTGTAGCAAAAAATAGCCATATTTGCTATATAGGTACATGCAGAGGTAACAGTTATATCCAGATATTCAGAAGTGCAGAGAAACAGTTCCCAAATAATTTCACTGGGCACTGAGGTGCTTAACACCTCTGAAGATCAGACCAACAGAACTGTAGGTAATTTGTACATTTTAATAGATATCTTTATTTGAAGGACATTTTAGAGACTGTTCTTGAAACCAGAAATTTTCCCTTTGGATAAGTAGGTTTACGGACAGTAGTTGAAGAGTTGGAATTGGAACGAAATCAACTGCAGGAACAAATACTGTTCCTAGAGGAACGTTGTCAGGACTTGGAAGACAGATTGCAGCTGCAAGAAAGAATGGAGGGGCTTCAGGTGAGTTTTTATATTGTGTCAGAACTGGAGATAATATGGGAAGAGTAAGTGAGCTTTCCATTCCTAATCTGTTCTCTTGTAAAGCAAATATACAAATAAAAGAATCTACAGTCTTTCTGTGTTTTAAAAATTTGACAGAGTAATGTTACAATAGAATATGCCCATTCACACTTTTGTTATATACAGCAAAAGCTCTGTTATCTGGCACCCATGGGGAATAGGGGGTGCCAGATAACCAAATATGCCGGTTACCTGAGAGGCGTCTTTGCCTGTCTCTCGCCTTGTCAGTGTGCCGGGGGACAAGCACAGCGCCGCCCCTTCCCTGTCCATCCTAGAGACAACAGTCCCTTCCAGTCGCATTGGATTACATGTAAACTTTATTAATATAAAAATAAATTTGCCGTGGGCCAAAATGGGACTCTGCAAAACCAGAAGTGGGACTTCCGGTTTCGCTTTTGCCATGTTGACCAGCGTGCCAGTTAATGAAGTGCCGGATAACACAGCTTTTACTGTACCTCTATTATCTTTTGTTACACTGTACAGTGCAAGATAGCACCCAGTTTGCTAACCAGTAAAAACACTTATGCAAAATCTGTGAAATAGTTTTGGAAATAGGCTCCTTATCAGAACTTTTCAGCATGTTGCTGCCATGCAAGTTTCAAAGAAAGATGACATCACTTGTGTCACCAGCTGTGGTGCCTATGTTAGATATCAAGAGCTTCATTTTTGTTGTCACTGAACAAGTATATCTTTATTTAGTTGAGTAGAATTATTTCTGCTTTACACTGTGAATGAGAAGTCAGGCAGCTAGCATTAATAACACTTCTAATATACACTGGTCATAATTTTATTTCCTGAAGGAGGTTGCATAATGTTTTGTGGTAAGAGATGTAAAAAGGCAATAAAAATAGTTTCATAGTTTCATAGATTTAGGGTTGGAAGGGA